CGAAGAAGTTCGACTACATCAACCGCATTACTAAACGCTACCGCTTTCGGTCTATGAGGGTACGTAGACACACTCTCCCCCTCGTTGCTATGCATCTCCATGGATAGATCATTGCGTGTGCATAGAAAAAATTGTTTTTCCATGCAACATTTCCCAACAGCCACTAGGTGTAGATCCGTTCTGCTAACGATGTTGAAACCTTGACTCATCAAGGACATCAAGTCGCACAAGATATCCTCCATGGCAGTAGTTGCTTCTATCAGGAAGGCCAAATATCCAGATGCACATACTTGGTTCTTGAGAGAAGGTTTGGCAGACGTTCCTCAAATGGGTACTAACAAGCGACACTCGATTCGTTTGAGCCTAGACATCACAAACCATCACTCGGAATTCAATGATACACCATTAGTCGGGTCAGGAGCCATCCTCTTTCGAAGAGATTGATACGGGTATCACCAAGTTTTTCTGATAACTTGCTCAAAACTCACCTTCCATAGGTATGATCTGCTGAGGCCACCAAGGTCTTTCATCCGATAAACAAATGGCACTTAGAGTTCAGCGATCAATTGAAATCATTGCATGCGTGACACTGTCGGTTTTCGCAGCGAGGCAATGACTGCCAAGCTCTTTGGCAACGCCACACCAAGCACCAATGAGACGAGATTGGTGTCGAAGGGCGTTATTCAACAAAATAATATCGGAGCAATGTCGTTGCAACACAAAAATCTTACTAAACAAACTCCTCACACTGGACGAGCGACGAGAATCCTGCCCCATCCACCTTATGATGTCTAAGCGATGGACAGAGGCAAAAGGCATGGACGATTGATCTCGTGAAGGCTAGGTTTTCTTATAAGGGTTAGCGGTTGTTAGTTGTTGTTTTTGGACTATTTAGTGTAGAGCAACAGCCCCACAATCCTTTTTATTTTAGAAACTTTTGCCCTGGCCTATTTAAATCCGCTCCCACCAGGAGTCGAACCCAGGACCTGGGGTGCTACTAAGGTCGCTACAACCACTAGGCTACATGCCCATTCGCGGTTCTTAGTTGTTCGTGTTGGTAGTGTCAGCGATTGATGTATTAAGTTAATTGTTTTTCATAAAAATGGCAGTATTTACTAGAAAGTGAGTCCAGTGTTAAAACAATGTGGTTCAGACGGCCCCTTACCCTGAAAAGGTGCCAAGTGGCCGCAATACTTGGACACGGCCTCTTGGATGGTGTATCATCCATGTGGCCTTTTGCTCCATGACATGGATTAGATCGAGGCTAGTGGCCAACCATGCATCGCACAACATCTCGTCCTCCGCATGTTGAACCTTTCTCTTCTACCCTTCTTCTTCGGATCGCCAGTTGAATCATCAAGATCGTCGTCCTCCTCCTACTGTCCAGCAGCCCATCCTGCTGCTATGTGCCCATGTTGGTTTGGGTGTAGGACTGCTATGTGCCCGGCTGAGTGTAGCCCTGTTCTGTGTGGGTGTAGTTGCCAGACTGGGTGGGATCTGAGTCTGTCACCTGCCCGTCCTCATAGCCACCTCCTCATCCGTCTCCAACATGGGTGATGTCAAACATCTCCCTCTCCCTATCATCGTATGCCTTCTCCCCCACTTTAGGCATAGCACCATACAGCATGCGGGCACCCATCTGCTCCCACCCACCGTCTGCGCCCGGATGAGCTGTGGTGACGAATACTAAGAGGAGTGGCGGCACCGCGTTAACGTCGACGATATAAGGCACTTGGCCGGCGGCGGTTGCCGCGGACTGCCTATCGAGTTGTTTGGCGCCAAAGAAGTACGAAGCCTTGTAATGCTCCAGCCATGGTGACGTCTGTACGGTGGGCGACACCATCGGGACATCATGGCCCGGGCCGTGACATCCACCACGTATGTCTGCGACCAACATGGCCACTGCCACGTCCTCCACCAGCACGACCTCCGTTAGCCTTCTACTTCTTGAGTGTTTCCTCCAATGTTGGCCTTCACTTTGACGCGGCGATTTTGCCACGTTGCCGAGTTGATCTTTCAGGTGAGTGTGACGTTTGGATCCTCCTGCACCTCCACCACCTCCATCTCCGATAGGTTCTCTTCCAGTTTCGCGTGTCGGCGGCGGGAGGGAAGAAGAGAGTGGGAGAAAAAGTGCGGGAATTGGTTGAAGAGCGGCGGGATGAAATAAGAGAGTGGGGGATTTTGGCATGGAAACGGTGTGGGCGGCTACAAAAACGCAGGCTCTGCCTTCCTTTTGTGTGGGCCATGGGCGTCAGAGTCCGACGCGTCTCATGTCCGGACTACCGCAAAGCCCCCCACGTTTGGTTCCGATTTACGGGAATATCGTGGTCCAGATTGCTCCGCAGACGGATAGGGGCCAACGCTGGATGGATACTGCCGGTTTTAAGGGTGAGCGTTGAAGATGCCATAAGACATACATGCGCATTTTCTTCTCACCATCACTGCCGTTGAAAACCTCCAACTCGCCATCATCCAGTTCAAACTCTTTGAAAAAGTGTGCTTGTACAATATACTGTATAACACAATCATTAGCTCAGGTCATCCTTATTCAGAAGGAAAATAAGCCGGCTTGATGTTGCTTCCCAAACATATTGTATGCGCACCGATGCATGCATCCTTGCAGAAAATCAGTAGACTTAACTGTGACACACACACACAAATAACATACGATTTTCAGCGTGCAACTTGTGCGTAAATATATACACCATACACGCAATTACACACATCGTATAATGCATGCTGGCCAGTACTCCATGCAGGCCCGGGAAAAAACGAGTCTACTGATCCCGTTATCCCGCATATAATCCCAAACTAAATCATCAAGTGGATCACGGGATCTACTAGTTAAGTAGTAATCGGCATTCCCTCCCGTTTTATCATTTCGGGGGGCCAAGTCAGACGTCCAAGCTTCGGCTGACTTTATAATCTATCTATGAGCAATCTATATACGCTCGCGACAGCAACGGGCGAACTGAAAATTCCTGGCAATCACTCAGTGAACTTCTAGCAGAATTCTGAACGTAGTATACAGAGACTTCACTAAAACCTAGTGAAACAGTCTCATTCGACAGGTCCAGTCTTTTTACTGGGCGAGCATTTCAGCTTCATTTAGCGGTATATAATTAGTAAGTATAACTAGCGAAACAGCATCTGATTTTGGCGATTGATTTTTTTAGGAACATTTTGGCGATTGATTAGTACTCGATTATACTGTAGGCTGTAGCTAAGACCTGGAGCCCAATTGGGTCGCTCTCCTTGTGGCGCGGGGAGGGAATATTCTGAAAGCGCAGCGCCAGGACAAGAGCGCCAGGCCGAGGGAGTTGCCTGTCCGCGTACGGCTCCGACGGACGATGGAGAGCGAACTAGTGAGGTCGCTCTTGCTTAGCCAGACGCTAAGCTCAAAGCCGCGCGTCTTTTCCCCATCCAGGCGCACTGTCACTGGGCCGAAAAGCGGCTATAACCCTCCCGGTTTGGCTGAGCGTGACCTGTCCAGCCGTGTAAAGGGCCAACAGGGCCTTTGGGGTTTTGGGAGGGATAATTGAGCTGCATATGCGCCAATAACCACGATTATACGCTGCTTAATTGCATCATCCAGGGAAGAAGATGTCTTGTTTGATCTCTTGTTTTGGAGCGATCTTGTGATTGGATTGGAGCGTCTCGATTTGAAAAATGTGATGATGTGACCTGTGGGAATATCGCGGAAACTCATGGGAAATGGGGGGTCGTTTTGGCCGCATGTGCAATGCAAGGACCGAATAATTAAGTGATCCGTGTGTGTTTTTTCTGCAATTGCGTAATGTGATTGCTGTACTTGCGTAGGGATTATTCGGGGAAGACAGGCATGCAGCAAAGCATGTAGAGTAGTACTACTACTGCTGATCGACTTACGTATGGCTTGGGCTGTGTTCCTCTTTTCGCCCCCGCCCCCACAGAGCCTCTTTTGCTTTGGTGGTCGGGCAGCACGTTCGCACGGCTCGCAGCCCCCTGGCCGTCCATCTCATGATGGACGTCTCCGGCTCCGTCCACGTCGACTTTCCTTTCTGTTTCGCTTTCGAGCTTCCGTCGACACGACAAGAACTGGCATGGCAGGGATGAGCATCGCACTGCTCCGAGATGATTCTCCTGACAAATCCGAAACGGCCCAGTACTGCGGCCGGGCCTACGTTGGTTGCTGTTCATGCCAGGCCACTTTGATCCATCATCATCATCTCTCAGCCCTTCTAATTATCTTCTGCGGATAAAAGGATCGTACTACCTCCAATGGATGTACCGCAAATTGTCCAGTTTCTGGCAGTCAAGCAAGGATAATATAGACCCTGTAAAAAAGAAGCATTTACTTGCGCGCGCGACCTGTCATCAATCAACCGGAGGCTGCGAAGCAGAAAAAATATGTGCCTCTATCATCACACAAGCGTCGTCATTAGCCCTGCGCTAATCAGTCATCACCCCAGCCAATTTTGTTCTTGGCGTGGGCCATGGCTGTCTCTCCGGCTTTACCGATTTTTTCCATGGACTGCTTTTTGGTGTTACTTATCGACCACTTGGCGACCGACCGACCCGACCCGGCGCACATCATGCAGGGACGGAAGCGAATCTTCAGATCGGTCATGGCTCATCTTCTTTGCCACCCTCGCCCGGCCCATGCGAATTGCGTGCAGCGTCCACGGCCTTTCACATGGACGCCAACAAGTTACATGTGTGTGTGTGTGCGCGCGCGCGCGCGATTGATCATCTAGGAAAAGATCAGGATTAGCGGCACAAAATTTCTGTTCAAAGAACTGCATACACTTGAGAAGACAAAACATGGGCATGGAAGCATGTAATCGATGTGATCAAGATTCAAGAACCACATTTCAAGTTTCCAAGCATACGAAGATCACCTTTTCAGGTGGCAACCCGAGCTTGTATCTGAATTTGCTCATGGAGATCGAGTACTTGGGATAACACGTTTGATCGATCGGTCACGAGGACGTGCGCGCGTCCGTCACACATCGATCGATCTACACTAGTGACAAGGTCGAGTCGAGAGGGTAGTAGAAGCCGCCGAGGAACTGGTCTGCGGCGGCGAGGTCGGGGCCGGCCGCGCAGAAGTCCACGAAGAACCCGCCGGCGTTGTCCACCGCCGACCAGTTGGACCCCGACGACGCGGCGGAGGCCGACGTCGAGCCCTCGGCGGCGAGCGTGTCCTGGAGCGCGGCGGAGGCCGAGGACGAGCCCTCGGCGGCGAACGTGTCCTGGAGCGCGGCGGAGGCCGAAGACGAGCCCTCGGCGGCGAACGGGTCCTGCAGCCCGGCGGTCGGCGCCAGGAAGTCGTCGTAGGTGTACGCCTCGGCCTTCACGGTCGGCACGGGGAGCGGGAGAAGCGGCGACAGGTGCGCGTGCGCTGGGGCCGGCGCCGGGAGCGGCATGAAGGACGGGGAGCGACGGCAGGGGGCGGTGGAGAAGGCGGCGGCGGCGGCGGCGAGGCGCTTCTTGAGCTTGGTGTTCCAGTGGTTCTTGACGTCGTTGTCCGTCCTCCGCTCCAGCTGCGACGCTATCAGCGACCACCTGCGATGAATGCCAGCGCGCGTCTTGATCGGTCATGCCGGCCGGGACACGAAAAGGATGCCGCTTTCGCGCCTGGTGATCAAGAAAGAGAAGAGTGCTTACTTGCTGCCCAGCTGGCTGTAGAGGGAGTAGATGATGGTGTCCTCCTCCTCGGTGAAGCCGCCGTGGCGGATGTCGGGGCGGAGGTAGTTGAGCCACCGCAGCCGGCAGCTCTTGCCGCACCTCTTCAGCCCTGCACACCCACCCGAGACAAAGATCATCGATCGATCGAGAACACGCGCGCACGCCACGCGTCGAGCAAAGGCAAAGGCACGGACGGACATGAAAGGGGCAGCACACTCACCGGCTTTGCTGGGGAGGGTGATCCAGCTGCCGGTGTTGCCGTGGCGCTGCATGTAGTCGCGCAGCGCGTCGTCCTCCTCCGGCGACCACGGGCCCCTCTTCACCGCCGCCCTGTCGCAGCACGGCGCCCTCCCCATGGCCCCGGACCCGGCCGCGAGAAGAGACGAGACGACGGGGGAGGGGAGGCTGAAGAGAGAGACCGGACGAGGACGTACGACTGGCCGCGCTGCTGCGCTGAGGCCGATGGGCTGCCGCTACTTGTATCGACCCCGCCCGTTGTCGGCGAACAGAGCAGAACACCGCAGGGTCCTCTGCCTGCGGTCTTTAAAAAACCGTACTCCCGGGGTGAAAAAAGAGTGTCGAGAAGAGAGAGGGGCGGGGTGGGCGCCGTGCACCGACCGGGGCGTGGTTTCCCATTTGGATCCTTGATTCTCTGCTGCTGCAGCGGTTGTTCTCTCTTTCACAGTCTCCTTTTGGCCTTTTGGGTCACGGGCCCATGCGGTCTCATCACACGCAGAGAACATTGTACGCGACCGAACAAACATTGTTGATTCTCCTGGCAGATGCTGTTTTCTTACTTCTCTACTTCCTTTTTGTTCCTGGCATGTTGCCTCTTTTTACTGCCTATTTTGTGGTGTGTTTTTGGTGAAAACTTCAAACATCACCTTGCTTTTGCTTTTGTACTCCAGTTTATTACTGCACTGAAGATCCCTCTGCATATAGGATTACATTTCGTGAGCGATTCACCTTGCTTTTGCTTTTGTTACTGCACCGAAGATCCACCATGCAGCTCTGTTCTTCTTGCTTGATTTGTCACCGATATCTCCTTGGCTTTGACGAATCATTCCGTGACACACACACACACACACACCAACACACGACGTCGCCCTCACACACTCTCACCCATGAGGACCATGTCACCATGATTAAGGCGCACTCATGCGATCCGCTTGGGACGATCGGCGCACATAATCGCCATGCCCGTGCTTAATCCCAAAACGGAAAAAGTAGCACTTCTGCTCCGGAAAGTTCGTTCCAAAAGGAGCAGGAAAACCTGCACAGGAAAGGGCACGAAGGGGGGAATATGGGCCAGTCGTGGAACGGACGGCTGGCGAAAGAAGATGGGCTTTCCTCCTGGTACGTGACGATCCCTTTACAAGCAGGCCTAGACACTGTCTGGTCAAGCCCGATCGATGAAAGGATACGGCCTTGTGGCACGTTTTCGGCTGCCGAAAGCTCTTTCACTCCGTTGAGACCCAAAAATCAATAATTAAGAGGTGCCCTTTACAAATGTCACTTTCATCTTCTCTGGTGGTGACAAGTGACGTCCACGAAGGCATGGGTGGGGTTATTTATGCTTTTTTACATATTTGTTCTTTCAAAATGATTTGTCTCTTGAACCAAGCGCTCAAATCATAAACCATTTAACCGTTGCATTTCTTGCGTCGTGTTCTTTGAAAATATACCACATGTTGAAAGGTTTCGAAGTAGTAACCCGTGCTTTCAAATAAACTAACTTGTGCTTAATTTTGGGTCAATCACAAAAACATAATTGTGTTTCACTTTTTTGGGCGAAACACATAAACAATGTTTGTGCTTTACGTGGAACCCAAAAAGTGAGAAAAACAAAAAACACAAAAAACCAGTAAAAAAATAGGAAACACAAAAAACCTGAAAAAAGGAAACTAAGAAACCGTGGAAGCACTGACCACTTTTTTGGGAAGCACACAAGCACATTATGTGCTTCGTGTGGAAACACATTGGTGCTTCACTTTTTTAAACAAGCTTAATTATGCTTCACACATTACAGATAATTGTGCTTTTGTGCTTCACGAGAAAAGAACAAAAAAAGGAATCCAAAAAATAGAAAAAGAAGAAACATTAAAAATAGGAAGACCCTAGAAAAAACTAGACAAAATCGGAAAACCAAAAGGACTCGGAATAAACACAATGAACACAAAAACTCACGTATCCGCGCTTCAAGTGCGTCTGTTGGAAAGCCCCTCGAGGGAGTACCCGTTGACTAGTAATTCCTGTGGATACCTCCGGAAAATCCTACTTGCCGCTCGTTGCGGCAAGCTGTCAAAGCTTCGCAGAGGGAGGTGCGAGCGAGCGAACGAGTGGGCCGGCCCATTTTAGCGTTACAGCAGACTCGGTTTTGGGAACCTTCTATGATGTTTCCAGCCGGTTTTTTCCGGTTTTGGAAACCTTCTAGAAGGTTCCTGAACCGGCTTTTTCTTTTTCTTTTTCAGTTTCTTTTTCATTTTTGTTTTTCTGTTTATCTTCTTTTTCTTTTTTCTTGTCTTTTTTCTGTTTCTTTTTTTCTGTTTTCTTTTCTTTTATCTTTTTTTTCCTTTTCAAGTTTATTTTCAACAAAAAATCCAAATTCCAAAAAATGTTCCTGTTTTTCAGAGTTTGTTCACAAATTCAAAAAATGTTCCCATTTTACAAAATTTGTTCATAAATTCAAAAAATGTTTCGGGTTTCAAAATTTTTCTTCCAAATTTTCAGAAAATATTCTTGTTTTTTCAAAAATTGTTCGAATTACTTTTTTCCATTTTTTGAGAAATTTGAAAATAATGACATGGATTTCAAAAAATTCCTGTTTTAAAAAATTGTTCACAAATTTCAAAAAAATGTTCTTATTTTTCAAATTTTTGTTCACTTATTAAAAAATTGTTCACATTTCAAATTTGTTTGGGATTTTCAAAATTGTTCTCCATTTTACAATTTGTTCTAAAAAATTTAAAATTTGTTTGTTATTTTAAAAATTGTTCCCATTTCACAATTTTGTTCGAAAATTTTAAAAATGTTCATGTTTACCCAAAAAAAATCATGTTTACAATTTTTTTGTTCACAATTCAAAATTTGTTCTCCTTTCAAAAATATTCATGTTTTTGCAAAAATCACTATTAAATACTTGTTCATATTTTCGAAAAAAATTTGTGTTTATCGAATTTTTTTAAAACTCGTGTTGGTTCAGTAAATTCTGATTATATTTTCTTAGTTTTTCTTCTTAAATTTGAAAAGTGTTCGCATTAAAAAAATACTTTTCTCAAAATAATGTTCGCGTCCGCATTACCTTTAGCTGCGCGCGCCATAGTAAAACAAGTAAACTTATGTTGCCCATTGGCTAGGGTCGTGCGTAAGTCACAGGAGGTGCCAGGTTCGATTCCTACCGCCTCTAGCAGTTTTAGTCTTTTTTGTATTTTTTACCGTGTTTCGCTAATGGGCCGGCCCAGCTGGAGTCCCCCTGTGCGTTTGCTCGGCAATTCGCCGCAGCAAGCGGCGCATAGGAGATCCCGATACCTCCTGCTCGACACTTGTTTGCATAAGGCTTCATCTAAACCGCGCAAATCGGCCGGCCCATTCCGGTGAGTCTCACCTAAACAATTTTTCTTTGTTTTTTCTCTTTGGTTTTATTGTTGCTATTTATTTCACAAAATCCACTTATTGTTTCAAAGAACTGACTGTTGGTTTTGTTACCAAGCTAAATAATTTAAAACTTTTTATACATAGGAAATAATATTAAAAATTTATTAGGACGTGTTAGAAAAGTTCAGTCTGTATTAGAAACAATCGCTGTATCTTAAAAAAAGCTCCTTAAACTAAAAAAAATATCATTGTATATGAAAAAAGTCCAGACAGTACAACAAAATGTTCACCGTATTTGAGAAAAAGTTCACCATACGTTAAGAAAAATTTCATTGTATAAAAAAATGTTCACCATATACTAAATAAATGTTCAATGTGTATTTTTTAAAAACAAATACACAAATGTTAATAATATAAAAAATAAAAGTGCAAAAAAAATACAGAAGAGAAAAACCTGCAAAAAGAATCATAAAAAAAATGAAAACCCAAAACATGAAAATAAAAACCAAACCTAAAAACCAAAAACAAATAATTTATCAAAAAAATAAGTGCACAACGATTCCTGGCCTGGGCCGGCCCACTACGACTGTAGCGGGCGAAGCCACCACTACCCCTCCCGTCGGTGTCAGAACCGGCAGATCTCGTGTAGGAGGGTCCCGAACTATGCGTCTAAGGATCGAAGGTAACAGGAGGCAGGGACACGATGTTTTACCCAGGTTTGGGCCCTCTCGATGGAGGTAATACCCTACTTCCTGATTGATTGACTTTGATGAGTATAGGGGTTACAAGAGTTGATCTACCTCAAGATTGTAATGGCTAAACCCTAGATGTCTAGCCTGTATGATTGTGATTGCCTCTACGGACTAAGCCCTCCGGTTTATATAGACATCGGAGAGGGCTAGGGTTGTACTTAGTCGGTTTACAAAGAAAGGAAAGTACATTATCCGATCGCCAAGCTTGCCATCCACGCAAAGAAGAGTCCCGTCCGGATACAGGGGAAGGTCTTTGACCTTGTATCTTCACGGCCCATCTGTCCGGCCCATGTCACATAGCCCGGACGCCCGAGGACCCCCTAATCCAGGACTCCCTCACACCCCACCACCCCCCGATGCTGCCACCCCCCCCACGTCGGCCTCACCCATGAACACAATGATTAAGGCGCACTCATGTGATCCGCTTCAGACGATCGGCGAACATAATCGCCGCCCGTGCTTGATCCCAGAACAGAAAGTAAGATGCACGTGCATTGCACGTAACACTGGAATGCATTGATCCAGAAGTTGTTTATTTGACAAAGTATGTGGGGGAGTCATCTCATGTGTAACAAATATCGATATGTTTCTTCGGATATTATTTCTTCTCTAGAGCTCACAAGCATCTGGGTGACTAGTAAATGTAGGCAAAATAGATAAAAAATATATTTTGCAAACAAAAGCGTTTAATTGTTCAACCTGCATCCAAAACTTTTGAAGAAATAACACTTATTGTGCTTTGCAAAAAAGATCTTTATGAATAATTTTTTGAGTATCGATTTTGTTTATTTTTTCTAGGCCACCATGAATCTAACTCAGGATGACTTGGAAGGGGGCAGAGGAGATGGCGAGCAGGAGGGGGTCATGCTGGTGGTCGGCAATGCAGCCTGAGAGGGAGAGATGGCTGAACGTGAGAGGCAGGGGGTTATCTACAAAATGAAGAGTGGAGTATAGGGGTCTTTTTGTAAAACTGACATAGTCTGTCTCACATGCATTGGATGTATATCAAA